TTTCAGCTATGGCACTTAAGTAATTCCACATGTGGTCGAAGATGGGTACAATCATACACACTGCTACTAAGAGGAGATTTGGAATATTTTTACCAATAGAGGACTTAGACATGGGTGGGATGTGTCAATGTATATTATTTTTTAACCACCGTTTCTCTAGTTACTAGTGAGATTAACAATCTTATCATGTACTTGCTGACATGTAAGTTTATTTTCCTGAGAAATCATGTATTTATTTTCCTGTGGTTTACCACTTTATAGACTTTTCCCATGTTTGTGGAGTTAACTGCATTACCTGTATTCATGTTGAAGTTCATTTCAGATATTATAACATGGAATCTTTTTATTTTGCTGTGTAGTACAGCAAATACATTCTCCTACTCAACAACTCTTTTTCCTAGCTTTGTAGACAGTGTCTTTGACTGAACAAAAATTTAAATTTTTTATGTATTTCTACTTGTCAATCATTTTCTTTCTAAAAAAAATCTCCAAAGGATTTTAATAGAATTCCATTTTGTAACGTAATATTCAAAATGTCCAGGATAATCCAAAATCACTTGACACAGAAAAAAGCTTGAAAAATATGGCAAATTCTATGGAAAAAAAATAACACTATGTCAATCATTTTCTTAATGGTTTATAGGTTTAAATGGGCTTCTAGAACGAAATGTTATCATTCGCTGGTAAATGGATGGAATTGGAGAACATCATTCTGAGTGAGGTTAGCCTGGCCCAAAAGACCAAAAATCGTATGTTCTCCCTCATATGTGGACATTAGATCAAGGGCAAACACAACAAGGGGATTGGACTTTGAGCACATGATGAAAGCGAGAGCACACAAGGAAGGGGTGAGGATAGGTAAGACACCTAAAAAACTAGCTAGCATTTGTTGCCCTTAATGCAGAGAAACTAAAGCAGATACCTTAAAACAACTGAGGCCAATAGGAAAAGGGGACCAGGTACTAGAGAAAAGGTTAGATCAAAAAGAATTAACCTAGAAGGTAACACCCACGCACAGGAAATCAATGTGAGTCAATGCCCTGTATAGCTATCCTTATCTCAACCAGCAAAACCCCTTGTTCCTTCCTATTATTGCTTATACTCTCTCTACAACAAAATTAGAAATAAGGGCAAAATAGTTTCTGCTGGATATTGGGGGGGGGAGAGGGAGGGGGCAGAGTGGGTGGTAAGGGAGGGGGTGGGGGCAGGGGGGAGAAATGACCCAAGCCTTGTATGCACATATGAATAATAAAAGAAAAATGAAAAAATAAATAAATAAATAAATAAAAATAAATAAATAAATAAATGGGCTTCTAAGACCTTTCTCATATTCTTTTGTATATGACTTATAGTTTATTTATTTTCATAATATGCTGGTAATTTCTTAAGTGGAAGAATATAGAAATTAAGATTATAAAATATAATCTATATCATATTAGAACATTTTAAAGGTTTTAATATTATTTTTAATCTACATGAATAGTAGGAATTAATTTTCCCAAAATGAATGCACAACTCCATCTCTAGTTGTTCTCTTCTTCATCTATATGAGCTACTATATTTTGCCGGATCTTAAATCCAAATACATATTTGAATCTGTTTCTGGAGTCCTTATTTTTGTTCACTGACGTGTCTGTTCCTTCACTAACACCACACTGTTCTCATCATTGTAGCTATAGAATAAAGTTGAGCACAAAGGGCACTCCTCTCCTTTTTTATTTATTTGTTTGTTTGTTTGCTTATACTCTCTGTCTATTGAGAGGCCACTTTCTTACCCATCTTCCACACTTACTTTTCACGTGGATTCTCAAATCTGTCTACTCCTCTCAAGCGACAGTATGTCCTTATCACTTGTGTTTAGACCATTGCAGTATTGCAGCCATGACTGGCTTTTCTTCTCTAGTTTTCCCACTTTAGTCCACTCTCTAAACTTCCTTCATAAAGAAATCTGATTATTTTGAGACTTCATATAGTTTTAATAATAGCTTGACTGAGATATAATGTGTACACCATACCTTTCATCCATCTCAAATGTATTTTTAATATATTCACAATTTTACAACTATCACCACCACCAATTTGAAAACACTTTCAATACTCCAAAATAAACTCCATACCCATCTAGATAGCACCCCTTACTGCTATCATGGTCCCTGTCCTTTCTCACCTAGCTGTATGCAATCGCTAATATACTTTTGTCTTTATTCATTTGCCTCTTCTGCACATTCCATATAGGTGAGATCATGTAATATGTGGTCATTTGTGACTGGCTTCTTTCACTTATCCTGATGTTACCATAGTTTAACCATATGTAGCATGTATCAGTGCTTCATTTCTTCTGTGGCTAAATAATATACTGTGGTATGGATATACCACATTTTGTCTATTCGTTACTTCGTGGACATTCAACTTATTTCAACCTTTGTTGTCTTATAAATAATGTTCCCATTAACTTCATACAAACTTTGAAGTGCAATGAAAATAAAGAAAAAACTTGAAGATGGGTTTGCAACATTCCAATAAAAAAGTTCTGTGAGGATTTTTGTTACAATTATATTCAAGTTTTAGATTAATTTAGGAGAGATTTAAATTGTGTACATAATCGAGTATTTCCATCCATGAAAATTATTAATTTTTGCATTTATTTGGGCCTATTTTTTGCCTTCCATAAAATTTTATCACATTCTTCAAAAAAGTTTGGTGCACTTTTACAATTTTTATTAATTTTACCTTCTACCAGTTTAAATGAGCTATTTAAAGTAAGATTTCTATTTGGGCTGAGGGCTAGTGGCTCACACTTATAATCCTAGCTACTTGGGAAGCTGAGATCAAGAGGACTGAGGGAAAATGGTTCATGAGATCCCCATCCCCCAAAAAATATCGTAGCAAAATGGACTGGAGGTGTGGCTCAAGCAGTAGAGCACCTGCCTTACAAGCACAAAGCTCTAAGTTCAAACTCCAGTCCCACCAAAAAAAAGGGAAGATTTCTATTTGGTGGTTGAAATATATGAAAAAGCTATTAGTTTCTGTATTTTGACTTTGTATCTAGCTACCATTAGGTTCTCTCTTATTAGTTCATGATTTTTCAGTTGACTTTTTACCTTCTAAATATTTAATTATATATTTATTTTTTATTTGCTAGTATCATTGGCTAGATCTCTAGGTTAATGATAAATAATGCCAGCTAGGTTGAGTGCACATCTCTTTCCCTATCAGCTTAACATTTTTAGTTGCAATCGTGTTACAATCAAAATTAAAGAAATTTAATGAAGCAAAATCACTCTGATTCCATGTGAAAACAAGCTTTCACATTACTAACTGAATTAAATTATCAATATATTCATAGACAGAGTGAGGAAGGATGTGCCTCACACTGCTAGGAGTAGTTCTCTTAGGGGTGTGGCTGTCTGGAGGCAGAATCAGGTGAGAGAGGGACTCCCACTTCCTGCTTTGCTTTGTGTACTTCTGTAAAGCTTGGCTTTTTGAAACAGTATTTCCTACTTTTGTACTCTACAATGTACCTTGGAATAAATCCAAAGAGCACCAAGGCTTGTCTCTGTATATCAAGATTCAGAAATGTGTGCATTTTTAATGGCTAAGATTTCTGTTTTCTTCACGAAATTCAATCTCAATTACATGAAAGATTTAAAATTAGATAGATAGATAGATAGATAAGTGGATAGATACAAATACAAACCTACTTGCTGTTACTAGTGAGTTAAAAAAAAATGGCCCCGGGAAAGAAATAGTTACAAAGGAAAACCTTATACATTGCACACACAGAATTCTGGGCTGGACAGTCACCGCTATTCTTCCTCCCTAGGATGCCTAGGAAAATGTGAATGGAAAAATCAATTCATGGTTGAAGAGAATTTTAGTTGTTCTCTAGTGCCATCAGACATTAGATGATTGATGATTACCTATCAAAAGATTTTCCTTGTGTGAAGAAAGGGTAACTCTCACACACTATTCTTGGGTATGTAAGTTAGTATAGCCATTATGAAAAAACGGGATGGTAGCCCCTGAAAAAACTAGAAATAAAACTACTATATGATCCAGCAACGACACCACTGTTTATATATGGAAAGGAAATGAAATTAGTATTTTGAAGAAACACCCACATCCCCATATTTATTGTGGCACTATTCACAATAGCCAAGATATGGAATCAACCTTAAGTGTCCATCAACAGATGACTGAATAAAGAAAATGTAGACAGAATATTATACAGCCATACAAAAGAATGAAATCCTGTCATTTGTGGTTACACGGAAGGAACAAGAAGACACTACATTAAGTGAAATAAGTCAGGTAGAGAAAGACAAATAGTGCTTGTTCTCACTTATCCATGAAGCTTAAAAAGTTAATTTTATATATAAATAATGTACAAATAAGTCTGGTCAGAATTATCACTACAAATTCCCCCTTGAATAGTAAATGTATCCTAATAAAAAAATTATTTTTAAAAAAGTTAACTTTATAGAAGTAGAGAATAGAATAGTGGTTGCCAGAGGCTAGCAAGAGGGGGTAGGAGAGGAGATAGAAAGAGGACAGTTAACAGATACAAGGTAAAATTGGACAGGAAGAATAACTTCTAATGTCCCATAGCATAGCCAGGCACCCATGGTGACAACACTCAACTGAATATTGTAATCAGCTAGTACAGGGGATTTTGAATGATCCCAACACAAAGAAATGATCGATGTCTGAGGTGGTGGATATGCCAGTTATACTTAACTGATCACATTATTTACATGCATTGAAATATCACACTACACCCCATACATACACACAATTATTATATGCCAATTAAAATTTTAAAAGGAAAACAAAAAGTCAAACCTAAAATAATGTGCCCTCTGACACACGACTGGGGAGTTTAGCAGACATGGGGGGACATCTACATTATTTGCCCTAGTACTTAGGGTGCTGCACAAATGACAGTAGTGCCCATGTTTTGGAAAACAAGTAAAGGCACCTCTTCCATTGTTGTCTTCCAGGATCTCCAATGAACATTCACCCAAACTCCAGATCCGGAGTCACAGTTACCTGAGGGCAGTAAGTGAGGTCTCCATCAACCGCAGCCTGGACAGCCTTGACCCCGCAGGCTTGCTCACGTCACCAAAGTTCCGCTCCAGGAATGAGAGCTACATGAGAGCCATGAGCACCATAAGCCAGGTGAGTGCCGCTAGGTTAGTAGTGGCCATGAGCAGTTAACTTCAGTTTAGTGAAAACAAAGAGAGCGAGAGCCAGGATACCATCCCTCCCCAGGTAGACCATTGATGGATCAGACAGGAATTGCAGTCAAATGCTGCAGGAGCGTGCCACATGTTCAGCCACAGCCCACTCTGGTGTCAATGGTCCACCAGAACAGAGGGCCTTCTGCTCTGCAGGTGGGTCAGTCACAAGGAGGGCATCCTTGGAAATTCATCAGGTAGCCATCAAGTTTGTCAGGAAGGAGTTGATGGATGAGGCTTCAGATGTAAAGATGTTTGTAGAATAGATGCACAGTGTAAATGTCACTGGCAAAGCCAAGGCAAAGTCTACTCATGAAAGTACTAGAAGACAACACAATTTATCAAGGCAGGACTTTCACGCAGGGAACAAGATGGGAGCTATTTACCTTAGCTAGGTCCTAAGGAATGTTGCATTTTGTTAATGACATAGAATCCCCTTTCTGAGAACTGGTACCAAGACTCATGAAGACTTGATAAGGGCAACTGAATACTGCATCCAAATTTTTCAGGTAGAATTCCTCAGGCTCTTCCATCAAAGTTTGATACATTACAAGAAGCTTTGTAAATGCCACAATGAACCCCCACCCAGCACAACAATAAAGAAAGAAAAGAAAAGAAAAAAAAAGTCTCAGAAAGGTCCTCAGCTCAGGCCAAGAGAGAATCTGGGACTCTTGGAGGAGCTGACTCTGTTGCCTTCAGAGGCCACCAACGTGCAGAAGTTGCCTCAGGGGGTTTTCCCTAAGAGGATACAAAAAAGGGTATTTTTTTAAATGATCTTAGAGGCTCTGGATTTGAATTTATAACCCATTTAAAAAGAATAAGTACCATCCCATTAATTGAAATGATATTTTTTGAGCAAAACACTGGACCAGATCTTTGCAAGTTATTCAATACCAAGTATGCATAATAACTGTCCCTTCAGAGGTTTGTAGTCTGATGAAAAGAATAAAAATTGTCTCACAAACATTATTTACTAGACCACAACAAAAATACTATGGATTAACATTAACAGCCTCCTTTTATTAGCAACTTACTGGGTTAGGCACTGTGTTGATTGCTTTGTATTTTCATAATCCTGTAAGGCAAAAGTAATGGTGTTAAATGGAATTTTCCCTATGGTCACAAAACTGTCAGCAAGATCCCAACACAAAAGACAAAAAGTTGTTAAATATCCAAAACTCTAAAAAAAGAGAGCATCTAAGAATGAGACCCAGGGACTCGCATTTTAGCAAGTATTCCAAGGGATTGTGCTAAAGTAGCATTGCTCTGAACTTTGAGAAATGCTAGCCTAAAGCACATTCAAGGAATAGTGAATGCTTTCATCTGTTTGGACCTTAGAATATTGTCAGAGGCAGCACTAGGAAATCCATTCTGAAGATTTTCCTGGAGACATGTTTTTATGAATGTCCCTGTATACCCAGCCCAGGGAACAGAACTTAATTCATTAAGAATGGGATTAAGTAAAGATTAATAAAATGTTAGCATTTAAGCATGAAATGGTTATGATTAGAACTTTGATGTAGGGTAATTAATCTGGTAAACAATATGTAGGAAGGATTGGAAAGGATGAAAGGCTAGAGGCGTTGTGATAATCAAAGTACAAATTAAAACTGTTGGTGTTGGTAGTATTGGGATGACAGTGACAGTGACGGTAGTGGTGATGGTGATAGAGGTAATGATAGTAGTGACAGTAATAGTGATGGTGGTGGTGTGGATGTCGGTGAGGATGATAGTGGTGGTCATGGCAGTGTTAGTAATGTCAGTGGTGGCAGTGGTAGTGGTAGTGGTACAGTATGGTGGTGATACGATGGTGGTGGTGGTGGCAGTGATGGTGGTGGTATTATGATGACAGTGGGGGCAGTGGTGGTGATAGTGCTGATGATGTCAGTGGAGGTGGTGGTGGTGGTGTAGTGGTGATAAAAATGGTGGCAATGATGGTAGTGTTTGTGAGACAGTGATGGTGGTGGTGGTGGTATATTGCAGTGCTTGTATGGCTAGAACAGATAATGTATAGGGGAAATGATGATGAGGCTGATCAGCAAAGCATCTGACTATCAGAGAAACCCTGAAGTAGGGCCACTGCTCTCACTTTGTTCTTACAATCAATGGAGTCCTGAAGAACAAAGTCAGAGACCACAAGGAGACTCTGAGGGCAGAGTGGGGAGAGGGTCAGTGAAAGCTGATGTATGGAATTCCAGAAATTAATCTTTGGAAGAAAAGAGAGAACAAATTTATTATCTCAAAAACTGTAAACAAAAGTGGTAGAAATCAAGCATTTATCCTTCCATTCCCTAGTAATGAAATCATTAAGGAACCAGATAATATGAGAAGAAACATGCCTTTATTAAAACATTTCAATTAATAGTTATAAAGTAATGATAAAATTGGAATGTTGCCATTTTGCAGCCCTCAATGAATTAATAGATCTAGGCATTGAGTATAAATGATTCCTAACAACATGAGAGAAACAACCCAGACATACTGTGCCCTTTGATGAAAAATCATATGACCGCTAGTCAAGCCAAAAGGATTGAACCCAAGTCAAATCAAGTCTCTGGATCCAGCTCAAAGTTCTTAGGAACTACAAAAAAAAAAAAAAAAAAACGGAAGAACATGCCAAATTTCACAATGAATATGAAATCAGAAAAATTCAGACTGTGGGAAGCTGTACAAGCCAAATGGCCCGTATTCCTCAATAAAAAGAAATGTTACCAGTTTTGGCCGTGCACACCTGTTATTCCAGCACCCAGGATGCAGAGGCAAGAGGATCAGGAGTTTGAAGCCAGTGTGGATTACATAGGAAGGAAGGAAGGAGAAAAAAATGTCTGTTAAAGTGAATTAAAAGACATATCACACTGTTTTCAATGGCTAAGACTAAGCTAGAGGGTCAAGGTCTTGGTGAAAAAAATCTGTAAACAAATGCAATGAAGTTTGCAATAAAACTGGAGTAGAAGAAGTTACTACTGGAGGTAGGAGTTGTGATTAGGGTGGGACATGTGAATGGCTACTGAGGTACCTTGAAAATTTCTTTTTCTTGATCTAGCTAGTGTTTCCAAAGGTGTTTGTCTTATTTTTTAAGTTACAGGTGTATTTCATTTGATTTTCTGTATCTGTGTAGGAGAAAGGACAATCCTATTAAGAATAAATGCTTCACTCAGATGGTTAAGTGAAAAACAAACAAACAAATCAAAGAATTATATTTACTCTATGATTCAAATTTAAAAAACCAAAGAGAGAGAGAGAGAAGGGGCATATACACCCTTCTAGAAAGATAACAGATTAGGTCAACCAAGTTTAATGTTTGTAACTTTGACAGGGATATTTTATGATTTCTTTGTAATGTTTAGTATATAAATCAAACAAATCATATATGTACACATACTTTACTTTTTACTTTGTAATTATTTCAAACTTACAGAAGAGTCACACATATAATACAAAGACTCCTATACATCCTCAATCCACATCTAGATTCATTTATAATTAAGATTTTGGCACCACTCTTCCTTTCCCTCATTCCATTTGACAGTTGGTTACAAAAATCACACACCTGGATCTCTAAATGTATGTCTGTATACTTCCTGATAAACAAGCATTTATAGAGAAAGATATAGCTATAATTTTAATATGGATGCATGTATTTATTTGACTTGAAACTGTGCAAGGATTTTATATCAAACTAGATAAAATAAATAAAAATACTATTGTTAAACTATAAAGACTTATTAGAAAATGCATATGTCTTAAGGTAATTGGTCACTTTTATCTGACAACAGTCATTCCATGAGCACATCCTCAGATAACACAAAATGAGGAGACAGTTAAAATTTGTAATAGTTTTCAGCCTGTGTTCTAAATTTAGCTATAGTTTAATCTGTTGAATTCCCAATTACTTATTAATTCAGTATCAGGAAAGATTGAGACAAAAAGTTCCAGAAGTCTCAAAAAAAATCAAAATTGATCCCAAATCTCTAGTAAGTCAGCTCCAAAGTGGGATGTTGACCAGAGCTTCCAGTTCGGCATAATTTTTTATAATTCATACTCAAATCCAATGTGAGTTGTATACAGAGAAGAATAAATCAAAACAGATTCCACAAAAAAGTGGGCACCATTACAAAGATCTTTTTAAAATGTACTTATAAGCAATTTGTGAACCATATCAGCTTTTTATAAAGAAGAGCAATACCTGTAAATAGTTTGAAAATCTTCATAGTGCTTTTCAAGATTTTGACATATTTAGGTTTGGTCTATTTTTGTACAGAATGTGTCTTGCCAGAAAATATAAGGCATGCTTCCACACGTCACACTCAAGCTTCGGTTGATTTTGGAACTATCTGAGAAACTAGTCACTTCAAAAGACATAGTAAAAATATTAAGTTTCTAAGATACAAATTGCTGAAAAGTTATACTGAAATGCACATGCTCTGACCATGAACTGATAAATTCCTCTTTCTTAATCTGACTAGTGTTTCCAAAGATGTAAGTCTTATTTGTTTAGTTATAGATTAATTTCTTCTGTATCTTTGTAAGAGGAAGAACAATCCTATTAAGAATAAATGTTTCATCCAGATGGTTAAGTTAAGGTGGAAAAACAAACAAATCAAAGAATTATATTTACTCTGTGATTCAAGCTTTATTAAAAAAAAAAAAAAAAGAGGAGGGGCACATATACCCTCTAGAAAGATAACAGATGCAGGAGGCCCTAGGTTCCATTCCTAGCACCACAAAAATAAATAAATAAATAAATAAAAATAAAATTATCATCCCCTCTATCTGGAGGATTGGCGTAAGGCTGCCCAACCCCATTCACTTTTCATTTGTAACTTAAAGGTAATAAACAGCATGCACTTGAGTTTCATGTGACGAGTGCCCTTTCTTCGGGGAATTGAAGAGACCTCCAAGGGAGAGGTGGGCCCTCCACCAGGTGGTAACCGCCAGGTGTTGGCAACCCTGTGTGTGCGCAGGTGAGCGAGATGGAGGTGAACGGGCAGTTCGAGTCCGTGTGTGAGTCGGTGTTCAGCGAGCTGGAGTCGCAGGCGGTGGAGGCGCTGGACCTGCCCATGCCCGGCTGCTTCCGCATGCGGAGCCACAGCTACGTGCGGGCCATCGAGAAGGGCTGCTCCCAAGATGACGAGTGCGTGTCCCTGAGGTCGTCCTCCCCGCCACGCACCACCACCACGGTGAGGACCATCCAAAGCAGCACAGGTGAGTGACCGGGCCGCAGCGCGAGCCGTGCACCAGTGTCCTTTAAGACTGGGCATTTGCTGTTGTCACACATAGTTGCCAGTAACAAGTCACACATAGTTGCCAGTAACAAAATACCACCAATATCCTAAAGCAAAGCCTTTGCTTCCCTACCTGCCTTCTATCCTTCCTCTAGCCACACTGACACATCCTTCTCTCTTCATCTCCATCGCTGGGATCAACCCAGGCAAATGGAACTATGGCACCATGAGGAAGGGACAGCAGAGCCAGCAGGCTGATCCCAGGTGACTCCGCTCTCACTAAGATAGGTTGTGACCCGAAATGAACCAGAAGCTTGCTTCTTATGAACCACAGAATTAAACTGATTTTTAATTCCAAGATAGCCACAAAGTCACAATCACAAGCGAACACCAGGAGAAAATAAGAAGAAATGGATGCCCAGTAATACTGATAAACATTTATGAGCCTTCTTTTATTATGATAGAAAACAGATTTATTTCATTATGTTAAAGCTTTCTATCATATACAGACAGCATCTCCTTTTCCCTCCATACTGTGTTTAGGTTTTTGCAGTTAAACTGTATTTTAATCAGTAGATTTTAGATATGGAAGCACAGAATTGCTTCACTGGTTTCCATGACACTGGAACCTGCATAATAATATAGCCTTGAGCTATGTATAACTACATAAATAAAACAAGTGGGTTCCAAGAAGAAAATCTCTCCATCTTAACCAGACTTAACTCTATGATTGAATTGGGCCTAACCACAACAGAGTAACTCTACAAAATCATCAAACTTAGAGTCAAGATAAATAAATTAGTAAGAAAACCCTGCATCAGAATATTATATTATTCCACTTTAGTTCTAGGTGCACTAAATGTCAGTAATTGGCAGGTGTGGTGGTGCATCCTTGTAATCCCAGAACTCAGGAGGCTGAAAGAGAAGGATCTAGAGTTCACAGCCCACCTGGGCTACATAGCAAGACACTATCTCAAAAAAGTAAAAATAAAAAATGTCAATAATTATCATTCAGCCTAGACTTGAGTTAATAACAATCATACTAGATAGAGATGTGGGGTCGAAGCAAGAATTTTTAAAAACCTTTATATTAAACAGAAATTGTCCGTCCATGACCACTATAAGCTGAGACTTCAAGAGCTGGGAAAAGGATGCTTATAAGACATCCCATTGGATCAACACAGAGAGCAGTGGCTGTGATTCTGGCTGACCGTGTCCAGACCAAAGATACTGGATATACATTCTTGTTCATTAGGAAATTCTCCAAGAACAGTCACAGATAATATTAATAAATTAGATAAACTAATTTATAAATCAGTTTATAAATTTAGTTTATAAATTTTATAAACTGATTTATAAAGAAAAAATATGTTTTGAAAAAACAACCATGGTATTATTTATGTGTGTGTGTTTTCAATCATGCAGTTAAGTGTAACTTTGAAAGTCTGCTCTGTTCCTACAGCATTCCACTGTGTCCTTTGGAGTTCCCCCACTTTCCCCACCCCCGCCTTCCATGTCTGGTCCATTCTCCTTTAATAATCAAACTGCCTGCCAGTTGAAATCACTCATTAAATACACAAAACGCAGAGCCTGACTCAAATAGGTCAAGGGGCATTCTCAACAGAACAGTTAGGAAGGAAAGGACCACAGGGTGATTCCTTCCCCCTCAGGGAATGGTGTTGGGGATAAATGGTGAAGAGAGTCTGAGTAGCTTTGCCCTGCTCACTTCAGAGTATTTTGTGTTTTTGCAATTAGAAGACAATTTACTTACACTTTCTACACCAGTTCTTATTCTAGGCTCTTCCCTCCAAATAGCCACAGGTCTGAACTTCCTAAGACCCTTCCCAGAATCTCTGGAGGAACCCAGAGTTCATAAAATAAGATTGACAAATAAAATCCAGTTACCCAGTCAAATTTGACTTTCAAGCAAATAATGAATAATTTTGTAGAATAAGTATCCTAAATATTGGATGGGAAATGATGCCAGAAAGAAGAAACAATAGAAAAGAGACCAAGCCACATATTACGAACAAGACAGGTAAAGCTTCTTTATCAGTACTTCAACTCAAGTGGGCCAATTCAAGCTGAAGGAAGCTAACTGTCCAGAGGTGACCAAGCTGCTCACGTGAAAGGAAGTTTTGATTAATTGTTTTGATTAGCTTTATTGATTTTTTCAGGGTGGGCCAAATTTTAGTAATTGCCCATTGGTCTGGGCGTGGTTTCTAGAGGTGTTTTCCTTTTAGTGTGCAAGAATTTTGTCCTTGAGATTTGCAGGCTGACAGTAATGGCTTCACTCAGGAACTTCTGAGTTACTCCTGTTGTTGATGTTATTGTCTTGCATACATGTCCAGGCCTCATAGTTTGATCTGGGCTGTGGGTGCCTGAGATCTGAGGAAGCAAAAGGGTGGAATAGAAGAAACACATGTAACTCTAATAGGCAATAGGACAAGTTAACCCTCTGTTACAATCGTGCACAAAACATTTCTCAAATGATCAGCATGTCTACATGCAGAGCTATATAGAGTCTGACTCAAAGATGAGGCCGTAAAGGAAGCAGACACAACATAAAACAGAAGTGCCAAACCTTTTATCCCATTTTATTTATCCATCAAGGACCTATAGGTACTAGTAAAGAGTCAGTACACTGAGCAAAAGCAAGACTTCAAGTTTCTGCAAAATAACCTAGACAACTGTCATCAATACCTACATGTCAGGGGTGTTATTTCCAGGAAGCTAATGGGAAGCTAGTGATGTATTGCTCAGCTGTGTGACCTCCTAAACGAGTGATTTTTAAGTCAACTTACAGCAAATGCTGTGATTTTGCTCTGACAAACTGTCTGACATCTGAATTGATTCTGGGGCCTTATTGGGGATATTTTATGGGATAAGGCTTTTCTTTGGTAACAATTGCCCCTTGTCTTTGTCATTTGTGTGATAAGGCTTTTCTTTGGTAACAATTGCCCCTTGTCTTTGTCATTTGTGTAGCCATCTTGAACACCACTACATATAGCTTGGTTTAGTCACAAGGGACTCCTACTCTGTAAACATCCAGGCCTTATAATATAATCTGGTGTTTATGGCAAAGCTGTTGAACACAACAATAGGTAACAAGTTAAGGGGCCATATATAGCTTATTTGCCTTTTGTTCCCTTGCACTGGTCCCTATCAATCTCAAGAAATACTTGTTCTACAAAAGCATCTAGAGTGTTTGCTAAATCCAGTAAGCCTACTGAGAGATGAGTGGAGCTAGAAAGGTGTGTGGTGTTGTTTCATTTAGAATCCTAATTAAATCTGAGGGACTTTAGCCAGAAGCCCTATGTGGTAAAATACCCAAAACAGTGAGTGAAAACCACTCTCCTTCTGGGATCCTTGAGTCTTATCCTAAATACCAGGCCACCTCCACCTGAAGCTCTCTGGGTGGGAGGTTCCAGGCTCCAATGCCCTCACAAGGTCGCAGGGGCAGGAAGATGGGACTTGCTCCTGGTGGGAAGAGGTGGGGGTATGGAAAGTCTATCAGACACTTAGAAGTGTAACTTTGAAAATACCAATTTTACCTTGCACAGTTTCTGCATACCATAAATTTTGTTCTTTCTTTTAAAAATCCATTACTTGATATTATAATTCTCTGTGCCTTTTGTTCCACTTCTCTCCACTACTGAGTGGGTCTCTCTCTCTCTCCCTCTCTCTCTCTCTCTCTTCCTATTTCTGTCTCTCTCACACAATCTCAGTACTCACATTAATTTTCTCCTACTAATTTCCTTCTTACATTGAAGCAAATACAATTTCCTGTAGAAAATACAGAAATATCCATTCTCTCACAGGACTTAATAACTCCTGAAAGAATGGGCTCATCTGTGGAAATCAAGAATGACTTCACTTTAATTTTGGTGGGTTTTCCCTATGTACACAGGTCACATGGACTTCTAGGTTTAGTAGGACTTGATGGAGATTTCTCCTTTTCCTTCTCTTCTCTTGCTCATTATTCTTGAATACTCACAACAGATTCCATTTTTCCATACTCCCCTCTGTCATGAAAAAAATTCATTTTTGTCAACTGCTGATAAGTATAACTTTCCCCCACAACAGTGCACATTCTAAGACTTTGATTTTTGTGCAACCATTTTAATTATACAAATTTACAACAAAATATAGTATTAAGCCTTTCTCTTTCATCCCTATCTTTTGTTCATAGTAGCAAAATGAAATCATAGACAAAAGTCCACAGAGTCTGATGCCTCATAAGAGAGCCACAAAGATGTGCTCAGCTTTCAGTGACCACAGGGATCTTCTAGATATCATTAGCTGGTGATCAAGGATGAATGGAGCCATCCCGCAAATCTGAAAGGGAGTTAGCCAGTGACTGATCCTCATGCTTCCATTGATTTATCAACTCTTTAGTTTATCCATGATAGAATCTTATATTTTCTGAGCCCATAATCTACTTAAATCACCCAGACTGCTCTCCATCCAATAGATTAGATGAGTTGTTTAGTAAGTTTTATTTTTAACCAACCCATAAAAATGGTACATATTTATGAGTCATAATGTAAGGTTTCAAAACATGAACACACCGAATAATGATCACTCAGGGCAATTAGCATAACCATTGCCTCCAGTGCTTATCATTTCTTTGTAATAAAAACATTGGAAATCCTCTCTTCTACGCATTTTGAAATATATAATACATTATGGTTGACCTATTATAACCCTGCTGTGCAATAGAAAACCAGGAATTGTTCCTCCTATCTATGTTAAGTGAAATAAACCAGTCACAGAAGAACAAATACCACCTGTTCTTACTCACATGTGGAACTAAAAGGGCTGATCTCATAGAGGTAGAGAGCACAATAGGCTAGGGAGGGTAGAGGAAAAAGAGATGGGGAGAGGTTAGTTATCAGGTACAAATTTTAACAAGTTTTATGTAAACTACTGTAGGTTAAGATTAGAGCTATCAAAGGGAAGTAACATGAAAAAAATGAG